CAAAATGGACCATAGTGGAAATCTCCACTTTCATATGTTTGCCCAGCAGTCTAAACTTCACACACAGGCAGATATGTTGATGTGGTTAGTTAGCATCTGTGTTTATATTTGTGTTTGCATTTTGCATTTTCTGCCGTGGTTGAATGGTGGGGGTATGTGGGGGATGGGGGGGCATACACATGTCCATGTCCGTCACATTTGTCGGCGAACATGTAGTGGTGTTTACCTCCGTTCCACAACCCATTTTATCGCTTTTTTCTCTGTCGATTTGGCCTGGCACATTTGTGTTTGTTCAGCTACTTTTGCGGTTTGCCGCTTTTCGCGCACATTTCAACCACATTTGTAGTCACTCCGGTTTGGACAAACGCCAAAAAGAAGACCGCCGAAAAAAGAGTTCAAGTGGGCGAAAGGAGAAGGACAACGAATGTTTTGACTACAGCTTCAATATAAATCAATCTGTATTCACAAATTTTAACCACTAATTATATTTTTGAAAAGAAACAATACCAAATATGAAAATTTCCAATTCTTTCTAATAAATGTAATACAAAAATACATGTGCTCAAAACAAGTTCAAATATAGCTTCAGCGGTCCATATATTGATTGTCCATTGATCGCCGCCAATCGCCAATTTTTCGACCTTAATAAGGGCAGTTCAGTTTAGATAGCCACTCCTCGTTTAATGCCCCATCATTTGAATTTTGTTCGATAATCGGGAAAGCGCAGGAAATGAATTAGAAATGCCGGCAAATTGAAACGCATTACCATACTAATCTATAATTTCAACGAAATTAGTGAATATTTTTATCGCAATGCAATGTTTTTGGAACATTTTGTGTACGCTTGTGAGTGTGAATGTGTTTCCGTACAACGGGGCGTATGTGCAATTTGATGTGCTCGCAATTCAATTAAATTCGGCAAATTAAAGCGAACTGGTAGAGCTGAAGTGAAATTTAATTGCATGGGGGACCGATTCCCCTTTTGCTCTCTGGCATTTTCTCTGGGGAGGTCAGGGCAAAATGCAGCACGTATTTATTAGCTGACGTGCATTGATGAAGGTCGAACCAGCGAATGCGTGATCCACTGAAACAGGGAATGGCTATCGGTTATGGTGTCGTAGAAGGAGGAGGTTTGGGAGGAGGGTGAGGAGATGGCAAGGATTCCCTCCGGCCGCTGATTGACTCACGATTATGCAATAAAACAGCAGACGACAGGCAGGACAACACTCAAATCCCCGCAGAGACAATGGCCCGCAGACCAAGCCTCCATCCATCTTCCTCGTCTCCCTTATTTGCCATCGAGCTCTGGGTGTTTGTGAGGATTTCATTGGCTCCATTTCAACAGCAGCTTTTCAAAAGCTAAAACTTTTTTATGTCCAACTCATTAAAAATGTGCGCCATTGGACTTTATGCAGGCCAGTCCCGGGATCCTTGATTCCTTTCCGACTTTGGCTCAAGCTTCGTTCTGTTACCACACACACACACATTGGAATATACACAGAATCAGGCCAAAATACTTGTACACAGAAAGAAAATACTGTCTGAGTCATCATTGTTAAGCCTGTCTCATAACTCTAAACATAAGAGTATAAAATTGAAAATAAAATAGTTCAAACAAAAGGAATTTAATCTGATTTTTATTTACCTAAGTAGTTTATTGGTAAATTATTTTTCCGTATGTAGATTTTGGGATGCTTTCCGCTTGAATTTCCCGCCTTTTGCCTGAATGTGAACGTACGACCAAGTTGAAGCCAGAAAGCCAAATGCAATTTCCAAGTTTTTAATGTGCGAAATTTCTAATTTAAGATTTACGATATTTTTATGTCGAATTACGTACCACCCGGCATCCCCGTGCCGTTGATGTTCGCTCATTTTCGTGCTCTGGTGTTTGGCTGTGAATTCTTTTCTCCAGCTGCTTTATGCCCGCTCGCTGGGAAGTTGGCCCATTTTCCCGTTTTAATGGAGCCCGGGACTCTTTAATTGTGGAACTCTGTGTACTGCAGCAGTCCTCGCCGGATGGGTATATTTTTGGGCTCTTAATTATGGACACGCCCAAAGGTCAATGGTCTCCTTTTGATGCAAATTTTATGGACTGGAACTTAATTGGCCCCGGCCCATTGAATGGCCCGCACCGAAAACGCTGAAAAATCTGCCGCCGGCAAATAAAATGCCCTGTCAAAATTGTTTTGCGACTGACCAATTGACTAAAACCAACAAAAATTCGAAACTGGTGCAGATTTAATGTGCATTTGTTTTTGGCGCGGTTTGTTTTTGTTTCGTGAAAGGGGGAGGGGGGTGAAAGGTCAGGGGAAGGTCTGTAAACGCAGCGATTGCAGCTGCAGTTTAGTTAGTTAGGGCAATAAATTGTTGGCTCCGTTTGGTTTTGGTGGAGAGGGAGAGGGAAAGGGAAAGGGATGTGTCAGATGCAGAGATTGCATAAAATAAATTGGTCAGCGATTGATTTGGGGGATTTGCCGAACAATTTATTACCACCGAGATAAAGGCATTTGAGTGTCAACATCAAAATGGCAACATTCCATTCCAGTAGAATGCCCGATCCAGTCAAATATTTTCCCTTTAATCCTTTTTGCGTGACCTACACGGGAAAAAATATGTTTGTGAGATGAGCTTTATCATATTTTAGGTAATGTTTCAATGGTTTCAAAAGAATATAAACTTCTTAATCTTATAAAGTTAGTTAAATACTATTTCAGTTGTATTTTATTTTTACAAATACGTGCAAGACACTAAGGTAATAAAAAGGAAGTTTACTTCATGGAGTATAATGTAAAAATAATAATATAATTTGTATTTACGAAAGGAAGTTTACTTAATGGAGTATAATGTAAAAAAAATAATTTAAATTTGTATTTATAAAACTTATAGTTTTAAAATTATAAATATGACTGACTTCAACATTAACTTATATTAGATAGTTAATTTTGTTGTACCCAAATAAAAGTTGAAAGCGCTTAAATAAAATGACTCAACTTTTCGCTGAGTGAATCTTTAAGGTTACATTTTACAGCACATTAGGCAGACACCCGAATCGAGCGGAATTTAAACCGCTTAAGTGAAAAGAGAAGCGGCGACACGTGCTCCATTGGCCAGACAGGGAGACAGCGATTCCCAGCGGTGGCCGAAAAAAGAAACCGCAAAAACCGTATCTCAATTGCAATCACTCAAAACAACGGAAATGACGCTTAGCACAACTTCCTGTCGCTCCGGCGGACAAGTGGACGGACAAATGAAAGTATCCACAGCTACGGGACGACGCGCAGCACCACCGCACCACCCAACCACCCAACCACCGCCACCCCAAATTGTAATTCATGTCGCTGGGGGAGTTTTCTTTTTTGGCATATTTGTCAACTCTGTTTCCACTGCACACATGATGAGGTGGGGCGTGGGCTGGTGTGGTGGTGGGTGGTGGGTGGTGAAGTGGGAGTATGGGGCCTGCCACGCCCACTGACTGGCACATTCAAGTGCAATTTCCTTGTAATGCGAAACTATGTCATTTTGGCACGGACGCGAGCCGAAAAGCAGTTCCAGAATGCCGGATTCAGAATTAGGTACAGGCAAGCCTCCGTAAAAAATACAGACTAATATAATTAAGCAATTCTTTAATAGACTTAATAATTGGTTTAAGAGAAGTCATGTAGGTATTCAAACAGTAATATATATTTAAATATTCTAATATTTCTTTTTTAATATTAGCTAATCTTTTAAAAAAAAAAAGTTTTTATACCCGTTACTCGTAGAGTAAAAGGGTATATTGTATTCGTGCAAAAGTATGTAACAGCTAGAAGGAAGCGTTTCCGACCCTATAAAGTATATATATTCTTGATCAGGGTCACTAGCCGAGTCGATCTAGCCATGTCCGTCTGTCCGTCTGTCTGTCCGTCTGTCCGTCTGTCCGTCTGTCTGTCCGTCTGTCTGTCCGTATGAACGCTGAGATCTTGGAAACTATAAAAGCTAGAAGATTGACATTTTGCATGCAGATTCTAGGAGTTCCTACGCAGCGCAAGTTTGTTTCAAAAAGGTGCCACGCCCCCCTTTACGCCCACAATCGCTTATATACAATTTTAAAAATTTAAATATTTCGAAAAAGTAAAAATGCAGTTTTATTGTGTTTATCAATACCTATCGAAATGTAGAAGAAATTTTTCAAATCGGACCATTCGTTAAAAAATTATGCGTGATCAAAGTTTCTCTCTCCATCTCCCTCGCACTCCCTTTACCTGAGTAACGGGTATCTGATAGTCGGGGCACCCGACTATAGCGTTCTCTCTTGTTTAAAACCAAAATGGTTAAAACTGATTAAGTATTTGGGTTTTTGAGTTAAGAACAAATCACAAGTATAAAATGATACACTAAACAAATATATAAAGCGACTTTTAGTGATAAATCCTTAATGGGAAACCAATTTATAGACGCTCGTCTGTACTTGTTCCTAGCGCGTGCATGCAAACATGACACGTTGGCGCACTTGTGATGACACTCGTGTCCACCTGGCAGCTAGATCCTGGCACTCGGCTCTCGGCACATGGCACCCGGCAGCCGGCGATTGCAGCTGCAACCGGATGCGGAACCAGAAGCTCTGGGCCTGAGCTGGAGCCGGGGTGCCGAAATAGCCGGCAACAACCGGCAAGCAAAGTGGCAACGAGAGTGACGGGCTCTGGGTCTCAGGGACATGGGAATCCAAGGGAGGGGAGATCCATGGCAACCGGTCTGACAGGCGGCATTTGATAATGTCAAGCCCCAAATCAGCAACAGACACCGACCAACTGGGGGACTCGAAAGTCGGGGTGGACAATTGCACGTTGCGATTTCAGCCAGTTGCCACTTGGCCGGGCACACATGGCCATCTCAAGTGTCTGTCTGGGCCAAAGTCGAGTGCGGTTTGTCTGCCCGGCCGGTGGCAAAACTAAGCAACCATAGTTTAACTCCTGCACATCCCGTAATTGCCGCTGAATTTGTCTCCGTTTTTGTCTTTACAGAACAGTTTCACATTTTTGTGGGCGATCTGAGTGCCGAAATCGAAACGCAACAGCTGAAAGATGCATTCACCCCATTCGGAGAAATATCGTAAGTACCAGGGGAAATATACAAAATTATTATAAAAATTAAGTTTGGTATATGGGGTAATACAAAAAAATGAGGATCTTCTAGCATCTCCTTCGTAATTACCAAAACTGTTAATAGGGTTTCTTACTTTGACCACTCTAAAAACCTTTTCCAGCATCGATCCTTGTTTTGGACGGCACATTAACTCCAATCAAAGAACATTTTGCCGCACTTGTGCAGGCCGAGCAAATTGTTAAATAAACAAACAAACGGCAAATGAAGTCCCCCGTCTTTCTGCGCCTAATTTATGAATAATTAGCCAGCCAAGGGTGCATGTCGAGGGAAACCGCGAAATGTTGTGCCACAGCAACGTTTCTCGTTTCTCGTTTCTGGTTTTGCTTTTGTTTTTTCCCAGCTGCCCAATGAAAATCACGAGTGAATGGACCATAGAAACGTGGGCTCCCAAGCAACGGGCAATAAATTAATAATTTAATTTTCGACTTTTTTGTTTGAGTAGCGCAAAAGGGGGGAAAAACAAACTGCAATGGGGACCAGTTGAAAGCCACAAGCAGCTGTCGACGCCGGGGCAAACAAATGCCGGGCGAGTGGCCCAAAAAAATATTAGAGCAGAACAAGTGAAAGCAAATAAAACTGATTTATATACATACACCCCTGTGCAGGTGGGCTGTCCACATTTATACCCACCTCTACATATTTTGATCCCCTGCTCAGAAATGTTGCGCCTGCTCATCAGGTCAGTAACCAAAAAAAGACGTCCTGGGAGCGTGTTTCGCAGACTTTTCATTTGCCACTTCCTTAATTAATGAGCATCAGCCTTCGTCGCCGTCTTCCATTCGCCCCTCGCTATTTGCTCTCGGTTCTTTTGAGAAACGTTGAACTCATTTTGCCAGAAACTATTTATTCGAGTGCACACGGGAAAAAATATTCAGAATTTATATTTTTGTTAAGTTGACAAAGGGTCTTCCTTACATCGTTTAGGATTCTTGCAGGGTTTGAGTTGTTGAAATAATAAGATTAAACAAATTTTTAGATATATTTACTTTATCTCTGTCAAAAAATGTGTATTTTAAAAATCTACTTTTACCGAAGAAAAATTATGTTTAAATTTGGTTTGAGCCTGAAGCTTTTAACAAATTTTTCAGCATCAAAAAATTATTATTTTTTAAATTATTAAAATATTTCTAAAATGACTTTTATTTCTAAATCTAAAAGAAATATGTTTTCGTGTAACGAACGTTCATTTAATATTTTTAGGGCTTGGCCTTTTGAAGTGCTCGGCGGATTTTCGGGCGCGGTTTGTCCTGCGGCCCGGCATCTGCAAATACTGTTCTTCCGCATGTTTATTTTAAGCGAGCGCAAATCTACGAAATAATTACATTTTTCAACTACACCTGAAGTGGTTCTCTGCCGCCTTTGGGCCCAAGGAACCCGCTTCAAAGTCATCCTCCTGCCAGAACATCCTTCGGCGCAGCCTTCGCCCCTTAATTTATTGCTCCTTATGCCTTGAGTGCCCGCGTGGGAAATAATAGCAAATATGTTGTCGTCTCTGGCTTTACCTACTTTTCATCATCAGGTTAACAGCACTCATGGGCGGATTTTTCATTTAGGAAGCTAAATTTATACAACAGTTCAGCCCCCCGCTTCTGCTTCTTTTTAATTAACTGGCTTAACTTTTAAACTGCGGTGAACGGTGGAAACTTTACAAAGTAATATATGTGTGGAAAATTCTCCATAACTGAAAGTTTTTGTGGTTTTAGTTTTGGAGACGTGCAGACATAGACAGAGCTCATTTTGAAAGTCGATGGAAAGTTATTGAAAGGGAAGCAAAGAGAACTTAATCCCCCAATTAATGGCATGCCTTTGGCATCACAATCGCAACCATAATCACACTCATAATCGCTTCAAAATAATTAAGTCTCTTTGAGTTTCCAAATCAATCAACACCTTGTGCTTAATCAAAGCCACCGAGCACATTTGTCCACTTTCCCAGGCTTCAGGGGTACTAATATATAGTTTCCTTATCGCCGGAATTAAATGGACTGCCACACACCAAAAATCCGATTAGACAATATAGGGCGAGCACTCTTATTCCCATTCTTATAATGCCCATAAAACACAACGCCCCGAGTGTGCTTGTTTTAATACAGCTAATTAATTATTCGGCTGGTCGAAAGGATCAACATAAAACCCAAGCCACTTCTAGCCGGCCAATTAGGGAAATTCGCAGAAATCAATCGACTGCAGCAGTAGCAGTAGCAGTAGCAGTTTCAGCCATAACCAAAGTGCTAAGACGATGACGGGCAGTTCAAGAGGTTCGATGTATATGTGGCATTTAATACTATACTCGTGACCGAGCACAAAACTGAAATTCAATTATCCGCCTGCGGTGGGCGGCTCAAATTGCGTCTGCTTGTCGATGCAGTCGCCGCAACCCAAAACCATAACCAGATAGCAGTGCTCCTGATTAATCACATGCAATATGTTCTGGCCCCGACTTACTCGAACTCGTTTCACGAGGCGTATTCATAAATAAAACCAGATTCAGAATCAGAATCAGCACCACTACAAACAAAGGAACCGGCACAATGGGCAAATTGATTAGCGAGCGGGACATGGGCACGTCCTTGCCATTGGCAGGACTACTGTGGCTCCTTGCCTGATTAGTTTCCTCGATATTGTTGCCGGCTCTCATAATTCAATTACATTTTTGTGCTGCATTGCTAACGAGCCCTTCTCGGCCTGCTGTAATTGGCAGACCTGCCTGCTTGTTGCTGTTTGCCGCCATTCATTGTCGATCACAAAAGGCTTAACTTGGCTTTGTGCACGAGTTTGACCCATTCAAATTTCAAAATTCCTCAGGGAAAAATTCACAACGGAAAATACACTACAACCTGAGTTGTATTTGATCATATTCGAACTGTTTAAAAATAGAGAATACTAATAAAACTAATTCCTAATAAACTTATAGCCTTCATTGTAAGATTCCTCTATTAAAACTTACAAGTGTCTGAACTCCAAATTAAAATCTCATAGATTTAAGAGTACCAAATCATTAATAAAATAACATAAGCACCATATTTTTCCCAGTGCATCCACACAAAACTTATGCTGAACTTACGTGAAAAGTCCTGAAGAGGTCGACGAAAAGAAAGCTAAGAAATCAACAAGATAATAGTTGATAGTTGCGACTGGGAATGCGAATGGAAATAAACTCGCTCGCTATCTCGTTGGCTTTTTTCGGTTACTTTTAATGACACTTGGGAAAGTTTTGATTTTGGTTTGCTGTCTACCATCTCCAGACTGCAGACACCCTTTGCCACCTTGCCGCGACGTCATTACGCTGATGTTCCCACTTTTTTCTTATGGGACATATAATTTTGTCGCCCCGTCTTAGCGACAGCCCTCGATTGGGACGATGCTGGAAATGAGCAAAACTTTCAACTTAATCTATTCAGAAAGTTGCCTTAGCTTCAGCCTCAGCCTCAGCCCTTTTCATAAACTTCAAAATGCGCTTGTGCACGTCGTCAAGTTAACTTCGCTCCTTTCTGCAGTTTTGCAGTTCGACTTTGAGTTGCAGAAAAGGGGAAACGGAAACCAATGATCGGCGACAAGTGGGCGGCGGAAATGGAGGAAAAAGTTGGGCGGCCCGCGCCATCTAACTCTGCGCTTAAGTAGGCGGCGGCTTTTGTTGCGAGGCGGCGAGTGACAAATCAAAATCGCATTCAAATGCGACGCGGCGGGCAGCGGAAGTTAATGCGAAAAACTTTTGCCCCAAAACGCGCACAATCAGTCAAGCATCTCCTTGCCACTCTTCGCGATTTTCCCTGCACTTAGAGAAAAAAGATCAAAGATTATAGCTGTTAGCCTTGTTATAGCTTGTTATCTAGCCATTGAAAAAAATTCCTTATTGCAAAAAAAAAAAAAGATATATAGAATTGAGCAAATTTATTGTTTACGTTAACACCAAGAAAACTTTTGTTTGCTAAAAAATAGTTTTAAGGTGATATGAATAATGACTACAACGTTGAATGATTTTAAAGCCATGTTCTTCTGTCTCGGCTTCATTATTCAAGAAGCATTTTATAAGCATTTTTCCTATGTATTTACAAATACATTTTTATATTTTCTAACCATTTTTTTCTCTGTGATTTTCCCGGATTTTCTCTCAATCCTTCGCCCTGTTTGTGCGTAGTGTGAAAAATGAGTCTTGGCAGTTTGTGTTGCAACCGCAAAAGCCTGACACTTTTTCATGCCGCCTGCGACGATTTATATTTGTGGCAAGTGTCAAAAGTTAGCCCCAAGTTCTGCGACTTTAAAGCGCCACTCAATGCAAATTAAAGCAAATTGAAATCGGTCCAAGTACATTCAGCTGTGTAAACTTTTTAATATAATTTTAATGGCCACCAAAGTTTGCACAATCATTAAATGGCAAACAATTTTCGTTTTCAATTTGTACGGATTCTGTATCAATACACACCGGCTTAATGCTTAGATAATAGACATGGGGAGCCGTTCACAGGCGTCGCCGATTTTGGGGGCCGTGGGGCATAAATTTATTTAATTTACTTTCATGCTGCGGCTAGGCAACTTTTCCCATAAAATACGCATTAATTCATTAAAATTGACAAAGGCGAAACACGACGAGTGCCAAGCACGGTTGGCTGCCTTTTGGACAGCCAGTGAGTGTCCGTTGCCAAATGCTCGGCGAGTGGTGAATGACTGAATGACTGAGTGACTGACAATGTCCTGCGATTCTGGGGCCAACTAAACGGAGCCAAAACCGTTGGCAAAACGGCGCCCCACAGCGGCTAAATGTATATAAATAAAAGTGCTTCAGTCGCGAGAAGAGCGGCGCCTTTTAAAATTAAATCAACGGAAATAAAAGGGACAACAAGGGATAGCGGCGGCGTCCCAAAAACTTTTTTATCGCGCCAACAAAGCCGCGCCAGAAATTATGCTGCAATGAAGACGACAACGAGTAGCAGTCCTTTTCGTCCTTG